GGGGCCGGCGCCGTTCCCGGAGCGGCTGCGGCTCTGCGGGGTGCTGCAGGCCCTGCGCATCCGCAGCGTCACCATCTGCAGGATGCTGAGCTTCCTCAGCTCCCCCTGAACCCCGGGAGATCTGGGGGAGCCCCCAGCCGGCACCCCCAGCCTTTGAAGAAGTGAATTTAAAACGGGGGTTTGGGATTTATCTACATCCGAGCACCAAAACGTTCCCGATTCTGATTTATCCGCGTTTATTCCGCTGATTTCTCAGGAGCTGAGAGCTGTTTATGGCAATTCCTTCTCCTGGGGATCCTGTCCAACTCCGGGTGTTCTAGCCCATGGTTTATTTATGATATTCCATTCTATTCCCTGATTTATGATGAAAATCCTTGATTTGAGATCCCATTCTAATTCATTATTTATTTATGATATTCCTTGATTTATTTAAGATTATATTCCTGGATTTATTTATGATATTCCATTCTATTCCGTGATTTATTGTGATAATCTGTGATTTATTTGAGATTCCATTCTCTTTCATGGTTTGTTCATTATACTCCTTGATTTATTTATGATTATATTCCCTAATTTATTTATGATGGTATTCCTTCATTTATGATGATATTCCATTCTATTCCCTGATTTATGATGATAATCCTTGATTTGAGATTCCATTCTATTTCATTATTTATTTATTTATGATATTCCTTGATTTATTTAAGATTATATTCCTGGATTTATTTATGATGGTATTCCTTCATTTATGATGATATTCCATTCTAGTCCCTGATTTGTGATAATCCATGATTTGAGATTCCATTCTATTTCATTATTTATTTATGCAATTCCATTCTATTCCCTGATTTATGATGATATTCCACTCCAGTCCATGACTTATTTACAATATTCCCTATTTATTCTATTTATTATTTATTTAATAAAATCAAGATTTCCTTCAAAACCACAGTGATTTTTTTGTCCCTTGGGACCTGACATGAATCCTTTGAAATCCTTTGGATGCTGCTGGCATGGGAAGGCACCTCCCTGTAATTGGGGGGTTTTAAAATCCAAATTTCCCTCTTGGAAAAACCTGGGATAGGGAAGGGGCTGGAATGGGATGGGAGATTTTGGGATTTGGATGCTTTTGGTGGCACCTCCACAACTTCCATCCTCTTCCCAGGAAATCAACAGCTCCCCAACACTTCATCCAACTAAAACAAAAATCAAAATTCAGGTGGAAATCATGGAAATTTTTCCTGTTTAATCGTTGTTTTTCCAAAAGTACGTTTTCCTTTCCCAGACACACAGAGGAAGATCATCCCAGGTATCCCAGAGCCTTGAAAACAAGACAATCCTGGATCTGGTCACTCCTCTCTTCTGCAAATTCCATTTTTCCTGATTTTTTTCCAATCCTGCAGCACAGGGATTTCGGCTCCTCACATTTTAAGCACCTAAATTCTATCCAAGTAAAAAATAAATCAAGTAAAAAAAAAATAAAAAGAAGTATAAAAAGTTTCTCATACAAAAAAAAAAAAAAATTATACAACGTAAAAAACTGAGACAAACTATACAGAAAAGAGGGGAGAAGGAATTCCATGGGAAATTCCGAGCTGCCTGGAGCTCACAGTGGTGCTCCCATCTTTGGGAATTTCAGGAAGCAGAACCACAGCTTAACAAGGATTGGATGTAGAGGATCTGTACAATAATTCCATCTATACAGTGATTATGCCAAAGAAATTTGGTACAAGTTTAGGATTCTTCTTCCCTGATCCATGAGAAATCCGACACACCTCACGATTCTGGCAGTTCAGTGGTTTTTTTGGAAGGGGGTGAAAGTTTCCAGGGGAATTCTTCTCCCTGGTTTTCCCTGATGGAAATCAAAATCATTTCCAGGAGATTAAAAAGATCAAGTGGTTTCTTCCAGTGTTTGTGTCCTCCTGGAGTGGCTTTTCCCCGTGGGTGGAACCCGGAATTCCAGGATCCACCTCTCCTGAAAAGTCTTGGAAGTGGCTCCTATCCACACCAAATTCCATCCACGTGTCTCTGGAGGGTCCTGCCTGAACTTCCCACCAGGAACATTCCTGAGTCCCAGCAGGATCCCGGGGGAGCGAAGGGTTGGGTTGGGAAGCTCCCACCTCCTCTTCCTCCTCCTCCTCCTCCTCCTCCTCGCAGCTGGCTCAGCTCTGAGCCAAGAAACCTGAGGGAAAGGAAAAACACCCCTGGATTGGGGATCTCTGGAAGCTCCTGCGAGACTCAAACCGAGGGAATTTGAGTTTAAAAATGTTTCAATTGGAAAATGGAAGTACCAAACCCCTGCCCTGAAGGCAGCACGAGGTGCACACGGAGGCTGCGAGGGAGACATCTCCACCTCTTCCAGCCACGTTGTTTCCGGGGAGAATTAATCGTGGAATTAGGGTGGAAAAGCCTCCAAGATCATCCAGCCCAAGCATTCCCAGCACTGCCAAGGCCACCACAGCTCCACGTCCCCAGGTGCCACATCCACACCTTGGATAAATCCCTCCAGGGTGCTGCTTTTGCCTTTCCAGGAAGGAATGTTCCCAATATCCAACCTAAACCTGCCCTGGCACCACCTGAGGCCATTTCCTTTGGTTCTAAGTTAAGGAACTGAGAAAGAACAAAGTTTTGCTGTTGCCAAAAAAAAAATTTAAAAATTTAATTTTTGAGGACAATTCCCCTTGGCTGGCTGAATGGGATGGGATTTTAGGTCACTTCCAACCCAAACCATTCCAGGATTCTGGAATTTTAATTCCGGTGAGTGGAGTTTTTTGTTTCCAATGGAAGAAGAAATCCAGCTTCTCCTCCTTCACCTCAAAGCATCCTCTGCTTGACCAGGCTGAGCCTGAATGAAAAATCTTGATAATTAATACTTCTATTAATCATATTAGAGCAAAAGAATGTGGTTTATACATTATAATAAAATGATGGAATGGTCTGGGTTGGAAAGGACCTTAAAGGTCATTTAATTCCAAGCCTTGCCATGGGCAGGGATAATTCCCAGCTCCTTGAATAACTTGGATTTGCAGAAGGTGAACTGAACTAAGAACTCCATGGAAAGGAGGGGGAGCTCCCTTGGGAAATCCATCCCCACATGGGATGGAACCACCAAGTCCTCCATCAGGGAAGGTGTTAATTAACCATTAATTAACCATTCCTAAAATAAAGACCCAAACAGCTCCTCTTAGGACTTCCAGGAAATCCCAAGAATTGCTTTGGACACCCAGGTCATTAACCATTAATTAACCATTCCTGAAATAAAGACCCAAACAGCTCCTCTTAGGACTTTGAGAAAATCCCAAGAATTGCTTTGGACACCCAGGTAATGCTGGGAGAGCTCTCCACACTCAGGCCAAAAATATTCATTTTGTACCCATCCGTGAAGGATAAAAACACCACAACAAATAAAGTCAGTGCTGAAAGGGCAAAGGAGACAATTTGAGCTCCACAGCAAAGGCTGCAGGGGTGATCTGGTGGATTCCCTGATGGAATTCCCAAAGGCCAGCTGGGTCAGGATGGGCTCGGTGCCCGGGAGCTGGTACCTTGCAGCGCCTGCAGGATCTCGTAGGTGGCTTTTTCCCCCAGGCTCCTCTGCAAAGCCTCTGCAGTGCCGTGGCCCTGCTCCCTCTCTCTCCACTTCCTCAGCACCAGCAGCTTCTGCATGGTCACGTCCTCCTCCATGGCCCGGACGTCATCGATGTCCTTCATCTCCATCTGCAGACACTCGATGGCCATTTCCCTCCAGCTCCGGTCCAGCAGCTTGGCAATCACCAGCAGCTGTTGGTCCGTTAAGCTTTTTGCTCCCATTTCATCTGAAAAACATTGGATTTCCCCCAAAACCCACCCTGACCTCCCCTGGCCCAGCCTGAGGCCGTTCCCTCTCCTCCTGTCCCTGTTCCCTGGGATGAGATCCCAAATCCCCCCGGCTGTCCCCTCCTGGCAGGAGCTGTGCAGAGCCACAAGGT